ATTTCACTAAGGTGATACATTTTTCAATAGTTTACGGTAGATATAAACAACATGTGGGTTGATATAAAGTAGCGTCGTTCAAAATATCGATTTTCCTCCACCAACCTCAATCGATTTCAAACCAGTTTCTAATAATTCTTCCAAAATTAGAGCTCATTTAGATGCAGACTTATATTGTACTGGCTCAGTTTAAATGGGATTATTATGGGAAAACTGAACATTTTCTTTTCATCTTTCTAGCCCTTTGCTGTAATGATCAACGGAAAAGCGGGGAAAGAGTACGCAGGCGGCGAAAGTACGTACTGGCTCGAAAGGCAGGCAAACGAAATGATGAACCAATGATTATGAGTATGATTGAAATCTCTACTGAATACAAGCTTACTAGACAAATATTGTGTATTTTAAATAATCCACCTGAAGGTTATCACCAGAAGTATGTCATTTTTTCGATTTTTGCATTATGGTATAAAAATACAATTTTTTGGAAGCGGTATTATGATATCATGGATGAAGATTATAACCTAAATATTCCAGTATTATGATCGATCTATATGATAGGTATTTTATGGTACGTATCAGCAGACGATATAAGAAAGACGTAATTTACGAGAGACCCTTTCCATAATTGACTTCGAGTGGGGCAAGAGTAAGAATGACTTAGAGTGGTGGACAAATCGTTTAGATTTTGAAAAATGATTTTAGAACCTGTTTTTAATCTTTAATTAGTTTGCGTTAGTGTAATAATATTACCGAATATATTAATTACATCAGATTTGTATGATTTTATGTATATTTCCACCACTAAAAATCACTAACTTTCAACACTTGAACAAAGAAAACATATAACACATATGCGCATAAATATGATAACCTATAAGGTCCAATTTAAATATATTATTGATTTAGAAAGCATTAATTCGATTAAAATAGACGTTTGTGAAACATTTAATAGAATTCTCCGGTGCCGGTGGTGTAGTGGTAAGCGTGACTGCTTCCTCACCCCAATGGATTTTTCTGAGGCATACAAATCTCTGGTCACGTCTTCCTTCGGAAGGGAAGTAAAGCCTTTGTTCCCGGCCCATGTTTTTTGAGAATGGGTGGTTGGTTTTGAGCCAAACGAACTGGCAGTGTTGCTAGAAACCACGCAGGCATAGGTTGCCAAGGCAGTTGGTTTTGAAACCGCTCCTCTCTTATACTAGCTCTTATAGTACGTTCATAGTACGTTCAGACTACAGAGTTATAACATGTTATAGCGCTATCTTGATGGTGGTTTCTGTGTTGCAATTATTTGACAACCGTTATAACATGTTATAACTCGCCAGTCTGGACAGCGTTTCAGACTACAGAGTTATAACATGTTATAGCGCTATCTTGATGGTGGTTTCTGTGTTGCAATTATTTGACCAGCGTTTTAAACGCTGTCCAGACTGGAGAGTTATAACATGTTATAACGGTTGTCAAATAATTGCAACACAGAAACCACCATCAAGATAGCGCTATAACATGTTATAACTCTGTAGTCTGAACGTACTATTATGCCTTGTTCAGACTATAGAGTTATAACATGTTATAACGGTTGTCAAATAATTGCAACACAGAAACCACCATCAAGATAGCGCTATAACATGTTATAACTCTGTAGTCTGAACGTACTATTATACTAGACCCTCTCTAGTTATGCCGGGTTGATTTTTGTTCGTTCCTATCTCTTTCAAGATCAAAGTGTGCTGTGCTCAAAAATGGACGTAATTTTTTTCGCCTGTCATTTTTTTCTCCTGTATTTTTTTTATATTTTTTTTTCGGTTTCTAATGTTTTGGGTAGATTTGGATAGAGTTCAGTGCAGAAAAGTTTTCAAGCATCGCAAATTACAGAAAACTTAGAAACTGATTGGATGCACAGTCAAATGAAGTTCCGTGAAACTATCCCCAAGGAACTCAAATAGAACACGGATCTTCAAGCACCTGATTGCAGTTTGTTCTTGTACTAGGATTTATCAGCAGTGTTAATTTCGATTGCTTGTGTTAGTGGGAGGCGTTGTCACCAGAGATTCGTGATGCTGCTGTTGGAAATGTATTGTGTCAGCCGGGTTAAAATTTGGTGATATCCATCCATTAAATTTGTGTTTAGAATCATTCCAGTACATAACAATGTATTTGACAAATAGCTGCAGAATCTGGTGAGAGCTATCCATTGCATTGCATTACCTCGACCGAACCGAGAATCGAACCCGCTATCTCTGACATTGAGAACAGTAACATAACTATTGTATTACACGAGTGATTTAGTCTCTGCAAGTTTCCCTGGCACGTGCTCTTTTTTGTACTTGTAAAAATGAAACTACTCTAATTCGATGATCCGTTTTACGGTACCGTAAAACGGGGTATCTTTGATAATGCGGGTAACTTTGAAAGTATAAATTACAGATTAAATTTACTCGCTGCGCTTTAGAAAAAATGGTTTCATATTGCAGCTTAGGGTGTTTTTGTTGAAATATAGTTTTTATATAGTATGTGTTACATATTATACAAACATATTAAAAAACAATTTTCGTATTTTTCGCCTGTTTGAAAAAGCACTCAAACCATCACTTATGAAATGAATTTCCGATATAACCATCACAAATTCAATGTTGTAATCTTATTGCTAATGATGTTTTCTGATTATATACTCATTCAAAGTTTCATATTTAAAGACCTAAAATGTTTGAGTTTCACGCATTTTTTCTACATTCATCGAGCATTATCAAAGTAACCCCAAATAAAAATACTGATGTTCGGTAACAAAACTAAAAAAATAGTGCAAATGCTTTAATTCCCGTTAAACAAATTACTAACGAATTAACTCTTGGATCCTCAGTACTTGTTTTAAAAATATAACATTTGAAAAATATTCATTGCTGCAAAAAATATTTAGAATATACTTTAAAAAATTATCAATGTTACCCCGTTTTACGGTACTAAAGATATTTGCACAAAGTATCGAAATTCTTGACTAATGTTGATACAATTATGGGTACAATTATTAGTTGAATTCCCAAAAAACGAATTAGATTTTAACAATAAATATACTTCAATATGTTTTGCATCTTGTTTTAAGACCTCGACAAATCTTCCCTGGGCTTTGGCAAAACCTTGAGGTAGTTTAATTAGGCTACCAGGTCCCAGGGCTGAACTGGATCTTTGCCACATTGGAAAGATGCACACTAGTGTTGCCAGATCAGTGTTGATGCTTACCAAAAGTGCATTTGAACCCGCTTATAAAAGCATATTAACAGATTTATCATCACCGTACATTGTTTATTGCTCTGAACTAATAATAAATGATTAAGCACAGCATTTGATATTTTAGTAGGAATGCTGGATTTAGTCACAGTAAAAATCATCTGTTTTTTTTTTGTTTTTTTTTGTTTAATCCTTTATTGAATTGAATTTATTTCTATGGGTATGCACGTTTGGAAAGTATCATCACAAAGATTCTGCACTCGGTCTACAGCTTGTGGGTGGGAAGCGTCGTTTTTGTTTTTTTTTTATCTATTTATAGAGTCAATTCTTAGAAATACGATGTGAAAGACAAATCAACAATTAAGCACAAGACCTTCAAGAAAACTAACAACACGAAGTCTGGAAATGGCAATGTTTCATTCAAAACGTCAAGTATTTCAGGAATATCGGGTGAGACCAATCTAATTGTTTTTTTTTTGTTTTTTGGGTTTTTTTTTCCGTCGATCTTGTTTTCCGTGCTGAGCACCAATGCTACCGACGCTAGGGAGGCAGCTGCCACACCTGGACCCTACCTATCGACCCATCAACTCATGACCGGGGACCAACGGCTTTACTTCCCTTCCGAAGGAAGGCGTGATCAGAGATGTTATGCCTCAGAACATCCCAGCGGCGCTGACTGGTATTGAACCCAGGCCTGCTGGGGTGAGAGGCAATCACGCTTACCACGACACCACCGGCGCCGCTCAATCTAATTTTAATCTTATTTTTGTGTAGTAGGATATTCAATTGAACCGCTCCGGGTTATTATGATGCGGTATGATCTTTTAAGCATTTTTCCTAAATTTTGGGATACAAGGGTTTAAAAATTATGAAATCATAAAACAAGTTTTACAGGTATTGCAAAACATGGTCCTCTGTACGTTTACTTTCCAACTTTTACTAATACTACTGTTACTCCGACTATCCCCTACTTGAAACACTATTCCTCTCTATCCTCCCTATATCTTAAGCAGGATTCAATTGATCCCTGTGATTATTATTCTGTGGTGCCAAATCTTTACCTCTACCCTTGTGCTGTATGGACAGTGATGTTTTACTGGAGACCTGGCCCTATGACCCCCTTCTGTGCTTGAAAATGAAAATGAAAATGTTTTGAGACCTCAACAAATCTTGACATGTTTCTAAAGTTGGTTACATTTTGTCGATTTAAATTAATTTATAAAAATACAAATATCAGAAGGCACCCGACCTCGAGTTTAAAAACAAGGTAGACCATCAGCTGGCTACTCACATCACTAAATATCTCCCAAATATATTCCGAAAATAAAGCCTGAAGAAATCCATGGAATCAAGAAATCCATGACCCCAGCGCACTTCTGTGCTTTCAATTCTTTTTCGCGATGAGACCAAATAGTTATCTCTAGAGGAAATAAGTTCTTACCCTAAACAAATTCGTGCTCATATCAGGGAAGAACACACGCACCTCATCTATATTCGCTGTGCTTTCTGTCGCCATATAGTGATTAATTCATAAATGTTGATAAAACTACGAGGTCTTCCCGCAGCAAAGACCGGTCGGAGTACCTATGTGCTTACTCTTTTGGCGGTCTGGGTGATGAATTTTTGTCTCCGGCAGTCTCCGCAGTACTGTGATGTTCGAGTGCCTGGAGACAGCTGATTTGTGCAATGTTATAAAAGCTGCTACTAGGTAATAATTCATATCAGTGTATTATCACGTGTGATGTAGGTAGTAAATGTATCATATCGATTTAAAAAAAATGTTAGCTTTTAAATTGGTCGGCTTAATAATAGTGATTGAGTTAATCTGTGTCATCCAGCATTCGGAGGGGCAATATGAATCTAGTGAAGAATTCGAAGAACAATTAAATTATTTCGGTAGTATAGAAATACTACACAGTCTTTTACGGGATTATGAGTCTGTTCAAAGCAGTTGGATGAATCCGGAATACGAAGAATATGATCGACAAGTTATAGACTCTTTGGAGGACTATGTCGCTCAGGTGCAAGATAATGATTCATATCGTGATCCAGTTAGGCCATCAAGTTCTATGAAAGTGCTAACGCATTTTTGTGGTCCTGGAAACTGGTCGGTCAATGGAGAAGTGACACAAAACCCATATTTTAACCAAATAGATCAATGCTGCAAAAAACATGATGAATGTCCGGATTACATAGTACAACGAAAGGACTACGAGAGGTATCCAGCGTTGCCTTATAAGCCACAATTTTTTACAAGGTGAATAATTTCCTGTCAATTCTACAAGCTAAGTATTCCCTTCAGAATATTCAACCCTCAGATTTAAATAGGGTGTACAGAGAACAGTAGGCCACGAATCAAATCTAGCAGGAATAAATTAATAACGATTGCATACATCTACATAGATAGAGCTGGAATTAGAACGTAACAGCTTTTGTAAACAATGATTTCTCTCGATGATTTCTCGGAACTCAAGGCACGCCCACGCAAACCAACATAACCATCGGGAAGGGGAAATCTTCCCCAACCTGATGGTGATGTTGATTTGAGTGGGCGACCTATGACTTTCTAGAAACCGTCGAGCGAAGTCATTGTTTATAAAAACTGTTACGCCCTAATTCCAGCTCTATCTAGACATATAAGTGGACGTTTTCAGAAAAGTTTCTTAGCTTAGGACTATAATTTGGAGAAAAAAGAACACATTTTTGCCGTTATAAATGGTGCAGTCATCTCAACGTTTTTTTTTTTAATTTTGCCTCCAATAGATTTGATGTCTGCGGCATAGTTGTAGATCGCACATTTTTATGAAAACTTGCAGAAAACTTCAGAGTTCTATGTATTCAAGTAACAAGTTTTTAACTGAGATCCAGCAAAATAAAATGCCGAGCTGCTCGGTGGTGCAAATCTCGGCAAAAAAGTCCAAGTGTGTGCAGAGTTTTATTTTTTAACATGCTCTAGAGCCGCTTTTATGCTGGCTATGTACAGATGGAGGCGTGTCAAGCCCTTGGTAAAACATACGAACTGCTCTCAAAAATATATTCGTTCCACAATCTGACGCAAATGTCGACATAACAATTCTTGCCATCTAGACGAAGCTTATAGCTGATAGCTTACCTGAAAAAAAATCTGCTCAGAATTTCGAGAAACAAAGGGGGTGTCAAGTGTCCTCACGGATGCTACAAGAGGTGCAATATAAGACCCACCAGAGCGAGGATGAACGAACCCTGCTTCATTCAAGCTCAAGGACCAGTTGCTGGAAGGTAGGATAAGATCAACAACAACAACAATTATCTCGTTAATCGCATCTTGAATACGACCCAAAAGAGTAGGGTAATAGCAACCTAAGGGGCCTCTCTTAGCTAAGTCGGTAAAGGCGCAGCTACAAAGCAAGACCATGCTGGAGGTGGCTGGGTTCGATTGCCGGTGTAGGAATTTTTCGGGTTGGAAAATGTCTCGACTTCCCTGGGCATAGAAGTATGATTGGACTTGCCACACAATTATATCAATGCAAAAATGGTACAGGCATCGAAAGCTCTCAATTAATAACTGTGGAAGTTCATCTATAGAACAGTAAGTTGAGAGCACGCTATAAACTAATATGCGATATGCAATAAGCTGCCCGAAACCTGAGCAACTAGGTGGATAGATTAGCTGAGAGTTCAAGGTAGAGCGAACTGCTAGTAGAACTCCACCGCCAGCATTTTTGGTACTCCTAGTTCGAGAACAATCAGTGTAATGTAAAAACAATTTAACGAATTGGCAACGTCTGAATATGTCCCGGGTACCCCCGGGGAAAAAGGCGAACGAGCCAGCTCTGAAACTCACCATGTGATACATAAAGTCACATGAGTATTCAAGAACTAAATCATTAGCGGTGTCAATGGATCTATTATGCACATATATGTTTAAGGCATCATCAATATTAAATAAATCGATGGTAAAATATTTAAGAAAACGCCTCTACACGCCTTCGTAAAAACAAAATTTAATTTCTTATTTCAACAAACAATCTAGAAGTGAATCAGGAACAGAATCGTAATCAATGTTGTACAGCCTTAGGAATTGTACATCGACATTTACACCTTACATCACAACAAGCTATAGGCCGACGATCGTTCAAACCTGGTAAAATAAGCTATTCAAATGAAATGACGTCCCTGAAATCAGTTAACAATATTTCCTAAACCGTATCAAGCTTACGTCATATTTTTCTAAACATAGGTATTACTTTTTGCGTACCGCTCGGCCCGAGTTCTATCGGTAACGATTTTCTACAATAGTGGTCTGCGATAAATCCTAATATCTTCTCCAAGCAGGACTCAACTAAAAGCATAGGGTCGAGCATACGTTATATTTTACCGAAAATATCGATTTTATATTTCACACCTAACCGACCAAGTTCTTGTATTTTCAAATCGATTTTGTACTTTATCTAATACAATAAAACATCAAAATAAACCAGAATACACCTAAAGCATAGCACAGTCGCATTGTAGAAATCGTAAGCGTCTTTTCTAAACATAACGAAAATAGCCGCGATCGACTTATATCTATTTTTTCAAAGAGCATCAAGTTTCAATATGAACAAATGCAAATTCCGTTACAAGTAGAAATCAATAATAATAATAATAATAAAAAAATACATATTTTTTTCTTTCAATTGCGTCTAAAAAGTCAAATGGTTCTGATTCAAAAGCAACGAATTAAAATTACACCAGCCTTGCCGTCATTTGATCTAGAAATGACTTAAAAATCAAATTATTCTAACACTTTCCACGTTTTCCTGAATTCAGAATTATGTCTCAAAATAAATAATAGCTAAACTCATCACAACCGAACAATAGATCACGCGCGATCGAGGTTATCCCGCCGGGTATCAAACGAAAGTCAAGAACAATCATACAGGCTTTATTTGTTGCAAAGATCCTCTTAGGTAAAACGGACTCACCAGATGTCGCAGCTGAATTTATATGAACCAGAGCGACTTCTTCGACCACGGGGTTTCCTGATGCTTAAAAATCTGAATTCTGTGTACGGCTTACACGACCCAGTACGGTTCACATCCACTGGCTTCAATGAGGTGTACAGCTTGTTTAACTTCAATGCTGCTGCTTTCAAACGGAGACTTCAAGCTGGGATCTGACAACGCTACGCGATATAATTAAAATGACAATGGGCCTTATATTTTTTGATGAGTAAGTGAGTAGCTGTCCATCTGTTATTAATTTGAAGGGTTTTGCTACCTGTTTTCATTTTTTGGTTCCCGGTGTCCATCTACTGCTTGGGCGAGGAGATCAATGGACGAAGCTATGCATCACGTCAATTGTATTTGTGATTTTATTCTGTTTTTTTTTTCACTGACTATTCTGTTCATGTTACGCTTTAAGTTAATGATGTATTTATGTTTCATTTGTTTTGTAAATGGTTTTAAAATATATGGGGCTTTTACGTCAATGAAAACGGGCTTTTTCCAATCAAGTTCTATTTAGATTTCCAGATCGATGGAGCAAATAAGCAAATAGGGAAATGGCTTAAATGTTGGCCTATGGATCTAAAATTGGGCCCATCGCTAAAAATCTGCTGTTTATCAGTTTTATATAGATAGACGCGTCATTGGGATTAATGAATATTTAGGTCGCTATTGAAAATTTAGTCGATTGCTGAATTTATGTATGGACCCAAATTAGGGGAATTTATGCCGACATTACATAAATTTTCCCTCAATAAATAAATAAAGAAGACTAAGAAGAAATGTAAACAGTAGGCAACGGCGTAGCTATAGCGCAAGAACATGCTGAAACCGGCTGCGTTCGATTTCCGGTCTGGTCTAAGATTTTTTTGGGTTGTAAAGTTTATCGACTTCCCTGTGAAAGAATGGGTCAGGCTTAGAAAGCTCTCAATAAACAACTGTGGATGTGTTCAAAGAACACTCAGATGGGGTAAAGTCCAGTAAGAACTTAACAAAGCACAAGAAGAAGAGGAAGAAGACCATCGCAACAGAGGCAGACACTAGGGGCTGAGTCAACAAAAAAAAAAAAAACAAGTCGACAGAAATTCGATCTGGACCCTCTTAAAGCGAAAGCTAACAATGAACTAGGATCGAAATCTTTCATGTTGATCCTATTTATCGCTGCAAAGTGGTCCAGATTGGCAATTGCTGAGCAGATTTGATCAGGATGAATTTTATAAAAAAAAATCGGTAATATCACGTGATTTTTAAGAAATATCAATTTTCGAAAATCAGCAAAAATGTGTATTTTAACATATCCTAAATGTTTTTGAAGACGACATTGATGAGAAATTTGAAACAACAGATTAAGAGCTGAACAGGTAATTTTTTTTAGGTACATCCCAAATAAATTCTGAAAAATTGCTCTAAAGTTAGATCGTTAAGAGATAAAACAAAATGGTTCTTCCTCAAAGCTGTCTGAAATTAACTCAGCTATAACTTTGTTGTACAACAAATGTTATTAAGCGACGCCAGTGGTGTAATGGTAAGCGTGATTTCCTCAACCCCAGTCGGCGCCGCCGGGATGTTCTGAGGCATAACATCTCTGATCACGCCTTCCTTCGGGAAGTAAAGCCGTTGGTTCCCGGTTCATGAGTTGATGGGTTGATAGGTAGGGTACAGGTGCGAGCTGCCCCCTGGCGTCGGTAGCATTGGTGCTCAGCACGGAAAACAAGATCTACGGAAAACAAATCAAGGAAAAATAAAACATATTTTATTATTTTCAATAATAAAAAGTTAGTCTTTGAAAATCAGATAATTTGTGAACGATGTTCATACAATTGTTATTCGTTAATCTATAGTTTTCAATCTATATTTTGCTATACAATTGTAATTAAATTGAATACATTTTAGTAAAACTTGTCCTCCATTAATAGGAACACTGTTCCAGTAGTAGTGGTAGTTGCTAACTTCGGTTCCAATAATAGTGGAACGCATTGGTTTCTTGTGGGTTCCACTAGTACCGGAGTTAGGATCCTTAGGGGGTATTTTTCTCAACATCTTGATATGAAGAAACTGAAGCTTCCAACGTTAGAAATTAAAGATTTTCTGTGAAATTACCAATGATAAAAAAACTACATTTAGGCGCATTTAAAAATCCATAATATCTGTTGAAAATAAGGATTCAGGGAGACAAAATTTTAAAAGAATATCCCATTTAAAGGCACTCGAAAGCCATTTGAAGGGTTTATCAATTTCATCCATTATCTATATTCATTCCAATTAATGAAATAATGTCCAAAACCGAAACAAAACAATCAATATAATAAGTAATCATGCAGAACGATGGCATAGCCTACTAATTTTAATACGATAAAATTGTAAATTTTGTTTCATGTAAGAATAAATTTTCATATTTACATTTTATGTGATCAATTTGCCCCCGAATTATGGTATTCCCTGGGTTTTGGCAAAACCTTGAGGTAGTTTAATTAGGCTACCAGGTCCCAGGGCTGATCTGAATCTTTACCACATTGGAAAGATGCACACTAGTGTTGCCAGATCAGTGTTGATGCTTACCAAAAGTGCATTTGAATCCGCTTATAAAAGTATATTAACAGATTAATCATCACCGTACATTGTTTATTGCTCTGTACTAATAATAAATGATTAAGCACAGCATTTGATATTTAAGTAGGAACGTTGGATTTAGTCGCAGTGGAAATCATCTGTTTTTTAATCCATCCTTTATTGAATTGGATTTATTTCTATAGGTATGCACGTTTGGAAAGTATCATCACAAAGATTCTGCACTCGATGTAGAGCTTGTGGGTGGGAAGCGTTGTGTTTGTTTTTGTTTTTGTTTTTTTTTTATCTATTTATAGAGTCAATACTTAGAAATACGAAGCGAAAGACAAATCAAGCATTAAGCACAAGACCTTCAAGAAAACTAACAACACGAAGTCTAGAAATGGCAATGTTTCATTGAAAACGTCAAGTTTTTCAATAATATCGGGTGAGACCAATCTAATGGTATTTAATCTTATTTTTGGCCGGCACCAGTGGTGTAGTGGTAAGCGTGACTGCTTTCTAACACCCCTATGGGTCTGGGTTCAATCCCAGCCGAGGTCGGCGGGATTTTTCTGAGGCATAAAAATCTCTGGTCACGTCTTCCTTCGGAAGTCCCGGCCCATATGTGTTGAATGGGTGCGATATCCTACGCAGGTGTGGGAGCTGCCTTCCTGCACATTCGATTGCCGTCAATGGATGGCAATCGATGTCCGTCGGTGATTGGCACTAGATTGCGGAACAGAGACCGACGTTAAATAAAGGAAAGAAGAAGAATCTTATTTTTGTGTAGTAGGATATTCAATTGAACCGTTCCGAGTTATTATGAAGCTGTATATTCTTTTAAGCATTTTCAGCATTTTTCCTAAATTTTGGGATACAAGGGTTAAAAAATATTTTTTTTTGTATTCGGTGTTTAGAATCTAGGCGAGCATGCTGAGAGCAGTATCGTCAGTTTTAAGTAACTTAAATTTCATTCAAAGCAGAGCAAAACTCTCAGTAATGAATTGTTGTGTAATTAAAAAACTCATTCAAATTTCGAATTATTTCTAGGTTACACATTTCATATCATTTTGCAGCATCGTGGCCAACTAAATCCAAAAAACATCCAACCACCTACCTCAATCTAATCATTATCCCTTCCCATGGCGATCATGTAGCCTGCATGTGGCGAGTCAGCCACTACCCCTCCTTTACTATCGGCCTTGGATTGACTTGCGCTCTTACTGCCCCACCCTGCGCTGCAAAATGAAAATGAAAATCTGCCCCCGAATTACGGAATTCAATTCAGAGTTGCGTTCATTTTCTTTGTTTCATTGCTACATATAAACAACAACAAAATCAGTAAAACATCAATGAAGCATTGTTGCCTACATTTAGCTTCAATGTAAACGTCAATGCTTCAAAATAAATTTTCTTAAGAATATTACTTTCGATGTTACTGAACAAAAGAACTCAGAACTTATCAGTTACCGATGTCCTCAATTACCTTAAATTGCAATTAATTAAAGCTAATTAGCTGAAAGATCTTTTTCTTCAACTCAACAATTGGTGACCAACAAGCTCAGACTTATTGGCAGACCAACGTATAAAATTAAATCAGAGTTTCTGAACGAAACTTTATGATTGAACGTAAATTGAAATTTATTTGCTATAGTAGAAAAAAAAAATGTGCCGCCTCCCTCAAATCCAGCCCTGTGTTCCACTAGGAACACTACCGCAACTATAGGTGCAAAGGAGTCAACACCTTAAGGATAATCGATTATTTTTCGTCATTTTTGGGCAAATTTTAAGTTTGAAATATGCAAATCTGCTTTATTTTAGGAGACCTATTCGATGAAAAATAACCCTATCCGGTTTCCTTCAACATTCCCGCACACTATAGGCACACCACTATTACTGGAGCACCTACCCAATTGTTTGTTTTTTGGTTCGTTTTTCACACAGGTTAAGATGTAACTGTGATGCTCAATTTTTCTCCTGCTTACGAGATGTGGCAACGTTTTTCTCCTATGCAGTGGCGTGGATCTACAGTAAAGCACAAACGCATTGCTTCGAGTATGAGTATCCAGTGACGGAGTGCAGACAGTTTATGTATCAATATCATCTTTTTATATAATTTTATAATATATATGTAATGATATTTCCAATATTCATTTTCAGAAACGATGGACTCATCTCTACACCTCGGTGCATTGAATACCTGGTCGATAATACCAATCAAAAGAGCTGGCAATGGTTCCATATACCATATCTTACTGCAAATCTCATGTGTTTTCCAAAAGTTGTATACCGAGACCAACAATGATAAATTGTGAAATTTGTTGATTGATTGTCTAACGTAGGCTTAGCTAGATCGAGCAAATCAACAAAAAATAAAAGCAAATCCTTTGATGTTAACGGGCACCTATATTCTTTTTCTCAGCGCTCTCGTTGTAGAATCAAATGTAGATTTTTTCACATCAGCTCTACAAAGCGTGGTTTGTGAGTGCGATCATCAGTAGTTCGAGTCTAAGCCCTGGTGAGTTGAGTGCACTGCTTCTAATTAATGTCAACGATCATATTCGAAAATCCACATATTAAAATAAAATCTACATATCCACCGCCATGTAAACAATATTTACCTCGGCTTCAATATAAAGATGTATACAAGTTGCTTCATATCGCATAGCATTTGATTACAACTTAAGGCTGTATATTTCAGATTTTACACCATAATTCAACTCATAAACTGTATCATATTTGTTATCCGGGTGGGACCATCATCATCCACAACCCGGAAATGCAATCTACACAAATGCTGCAGCAATATTTTTTTTTAAATATCTAGACGCCATGACTTTTCCGGCTAACTGGTTTCACTGGTTGGTAAATAAATCTTAATGTGTAAAACTTTCAGTTTTTTACCACCGATAACAACTAGACGCTTGTTGCATGCCTTCACAGGAAGATTTCTAAAGTTACAAAGATCCTCAGAAATTACACTTTCCGCTGATCCACAGTCTATCTCCATAGTTATTCTTTTGTTTTCAAGTTTTAAATCAACATAACAAGGTACATTAATTTTGTTTACAGTTGAAATCAATAAACAAGGAGAATCTTCATCAGAATCAGTCTGCATATCCTCCTTAAACCACTTTAATAATCCTGAAGTTCCTGAATCGGTCGGTTTAGGTGAATCAATAAACTTTACACTGGATTTGAATTTGCGGAGGGCTTTTGTTTTTGAGCTTGTAACAATACTTCCTGACATGACCTTTCTTCTTGCAATACGAGCAAAAAACTCTTTATCAAAATTACTGTTTCTTCTATAGCCATATCTTCCACCACTTCTGTTTGTAAAAGAAAATGATCGATTTCTGCTGTCACTCCTACTTCTACTTCTGCTTCGAAAATTTAACCTACGTGGTCGAAGGTCTTGTCTTCGACCCAAACGAGCTACCACACTACCTCTTCTTTCATCGTCGCTTCTCAAAAATTGAATTCAACAATCATTTTATCCGCTTTAGCAACAGAAAGATCATCCTCATGGAACAAACGCTTTTGTAGTTTCCGATCATTAATTCCTATAACCAATACATCACGAATGGCCCTATCTTTCAACTCACCAAACTCGCAATGCTCAGCCAAATGTTTAACATCAAGCACAAAATCAACCGCCTTCTCAAACTGCCCTTACCTACGCGTCCAAAATTTAAAACTATGTATCACATCGGAGTCTTTTCGCTGCTTCAATTTTTCCGTTATTTGTTTGTACTTAAGATCCTTTAAACTCTGTCCGGGAAACAATAGCTTTAGCTGAGAAAACACTTCAGTTCCACAAACCGTTAAGAACTAAGTCTTATATTTACATATCTTCCGTATAATTGTTGTGTTCAAACATCCATCCAAACATTATTCTAAATAGTGCGAAAATGGAAAGGTTCCTGGGATAAAAGGTTCAGAGGTTGGATTGATAGAAATCCTTTTAGCAAAAAATAAACGAAATACGAAAAAAAAAAATGCAAATGAATATTTGCATTTTAATTGCGTAGGTTTATGACAAAATACATGTTTTCCATGGAAATGAATTAGGTATTAAAGAATGAAAAATGTGTAATGTAAGGTAGTACCACCAACCGGTTGAAACTAACGATTTTAAATTGGCTCACTACTTGACTACCCAACAAACAATTGCCTATTGAAGAAACGACTTCTTGACGATTTTATTCAACAGTATGCTTAATAATACTTGTACTATTTTTAATAATAACTTCTGCTCAGGCTTTGTTCACACAAATCTGGAGAATTTATTCAACCACAACATCGAAATATTTGGTGTTGAATAAGGTATGTCGAGAAGCTTTTATTTGACTTACAAAAGTTGTAACAGAGCTTATTCGATCAAATTTTTGATTGTTCAGCGTTTACTAGACATCATTACTTCCTTAAGCAGCGATGGTATAAAGGTGTATATAGACGCTTAATTCTCAAGTGAAATAATGTTTAATTAGACACTATTATACATTTATTAAACGATTATTCAACTACGGGATAACTAATCCGAAAATAAGAAAGGCACAGAGCATGGTTGTTCTCGTTAGTGATTGTTGTGTCATTATTTCTGTCGAAGCACGCCCACACATAGATCATAGAAAATTTATAACATACATACATACTATTTACACACACATGTCGTTAGATGGGACTCGAACCATGACCTTCGGATCACCAGCCGCTTGCCTTGCCATCTGAGCTATCCTAGAATATATCATATGGGCAGCTAAATAAGCAATAAAAGCGTGAATCTGAATACCTATTAGCACTCCCTGCCGTAACTGTAGCTAATTCAAGGAGATGTGAGAATGATTAAATCATTAATAGTTGTTTTACATGAGACCATTGTTACCTCTCCATCTCTCTAAATTCAATGGAAAGGATGCTGGGCTATTCTTTTAGATAGATCTATGAATTGGTTGTCGTAAGTGATACGATCTATGATTACGATTTAAATAAATTAGGCATAGAAAATAAAAATAAAAAAAGCCTTTAGGTTGGGATTGAACTCGCGACCTTCTACTTGGAAAGCGGAAACGGTAACCAGTATGCTACCAATTTCGTTTTGTTGTTAGCCTGAAGCAGTGCTGTGGAATAATGAATGAATACGCCGTTTGTAAAGCATTCACAAAGCATGAAATTAAAACATGGACGCATAGTGGTATAAGAGCTATTATGATGACTGTATTCACTTTTATTCAGCAATATTGTTAAGCAATGCAATGGAATCTAATAATGGAGCTTGAAAACAATTTTTTTTTCCTTTGGTTTGTTTTTTTCCGTCGATCTTGTTTTCCGTGCTGAGCACCAATGCTACTGACGTGCCAGGAAGGCAGCTCCCACACCTGGACCCTACCTATCGACCCATCAACTCATGAACCGGGGACCAACGGCGCTTTACTTCCCATCCGAAGGAAGGCGTGATCAGAGATGTTATGCCGCAGAACATCCCGGCGGCGCCGACTGGGATTGAACCCAGGCCTGTTGGGGTGAGAGGTAATCACGCTTACCACTACACCACCGGCGCCGTTAAGCTTGAAAACAATTATTAGACGTAATTTAAAACAGTCGAATTAAAGCGTCGATGAGCATGAGCATGAGCATGAGCATGAGCATGAGCATGAGCATGAGCATGAGCATGAGCATGAGCATGAGCATGAGCATGAGCATGAGCATGATTGACCGCCCACGGTTACTACTCTGTTATTGCCAGACCAGCTGTAATTACACAGAGAACCAATAGACGATGCTTGGGACTAGCAATCATCCTCAATGTGTAAAAACTGGTGATATCGAATTAGGCAATACCAGCGGCAGCCACGCCTGAACGCAGGTCAAGAAAGCAATGGGTAGGAATGTGTTGACGTGACACTCGCTTTGATGGAAGCCGAGGAGTCCTCTGCACTGAAAAATACACTTATTCAGTATGTTATTAGATCAAACTTCTGGTGTTGAATCAGGAAGACAGTCATTGTTTGTATAGATTTTAATAAGTATATTAAGCAAATCAGAGCAATCAGCGGAATAAAGGCGCATTATCGATCTCAATGAGGTTTTCTGAGCACATAATTTGACAACCCGTTTTATTCAGCATTGTACACTGTTATAAAACATCAATCTATATGCTTATTTGTGACTCTGAATTGTTTTTTGGGCAGTGTTGTGGAATAATGAATCTAATACGTCGTTTATAAAGCATTTACAAAGCATTCAATTAAAACATGGACGCATAGTGTTATAAGAGCTATTTTGCTGACTGTATTCACCTTTATTCAGCAATATTACAAAGCAATGCAATGGAATCTAATAATGGAGCTAGAAAACATTTATAGGCCGTCTAATAAAGCATTTTATTAAAGCAATTGAAAACAGTCGAATTAAAGCGACAATGTATGTGCAAATTACATTTATTCAGTTTGTTTTTAGATCAAACTTCTGGTTCTGAATCAGGAAGACAGTAAACGTTTATAAAGCTTTTAACAAGTAAATTAGTCATATCAGAGCAAACGGCGCATCTATCGATCTCAATGAGCTTTTTTCAGCACATAATTCCCCAACTAACAATTTTCGCAATGTAAATGCTTTACTTATTTCGTTAATACAGCCTCAACCTGTATTCAAATGTTATACTATATCAGGAAACCTGTTGGGGACAGTTGGATCAAGCTCTTATTGCATTTCCATTTACGATTCTAAACAGCTGTTATCCTGCTGTTTAGTTGTGTGCGAACTTGAAAGGCGCTTATTCAACCTTTTTCCGGTTATCCAATAATCACTACACAAGCTTTTTGTTGAAGCCGGGTTAAATATTGTTTACGCTTTTTTTGTTGGAGGAATTGATTGAGTCTATTTTGCTGTGAGAATCAAATTAATCGAAATTAGTTAAAAGCACACCACCAAATTATTTACCCTGCACCGGAACCTGGAATCGAACTTGAGACGACCGTATTGGCAAACCTTGACTCTACCAACTCCGTTACGCCAACACTTTGAACTGACGTAAACAAATATACATGCCCTTCTACAATAATATCGTTGAGTAGTGGCTTTATAATAGTGCACATGAATCACTTTTCTCGACTAGTTACTTCAGCTTTGTAAAGGAGCAGAGTAAAAGCTGTAAAACTGCACACGTCTAAAAATAAACCTAGTTGACTGTAAAAATGCTTCCGAAGTAGCGCTAACACAGTTTATTAGCTGAGAACAGGTTGTTTAGTTGTTGGAAAAGCACTTTTGATGTTTATGTTATTCAGCAAGCGTGGCTGGTTGTATAGAATCCATCAAATGAGTAATATATTCACTTTATTAGCTTTGTTTTGCAGATACCAGTTTTTTTTTTGTAATATTTCTTTTATTTTTCCAGGCTCATTTGCTGTAGCTTTGCGGAGCCGATATTCATTGTTTTTAGATAACAAAATTACCTAAAACTAACGTTAGTAAAGCGGAGGCCGCGGCTATCTCGAGGTTAGGGGTAACAAATTG